GTCTACTTGTAGATACGTACCTAGAGATTCACAAAGTTGTATTCATAGTCCTGTTTTCTATTGAAAGGAAATGTTTTATGAAATTGTGATATAAACCTGGCAGTGTATGGTTTTTGGAAAAGATTTAAAATGTCTTGGCACGAGCTGTGATAACCCAACCCGTACTATGCTTAATTATGTATGTGATTAGGTGTTTGATATGAAATTGCAAGTTTAAGTATAGGAAATATGTGAATTTGGAAAAATATTTCTGTGGAAAGTTGTGACAACCCTCACCTCCAATTAGTGCTAATCTATGATTAAGCATGATAAGTAACTGATAAGAATGAAATTCTAAACTGATTGTATGAGTGTATTGTTTTGAATGCATTTCTATCTGTTTGATTTCTGAATGAATCTGTTCATGTTTTAACTTTGGACTGCGAATTGAAGGCCTTATCGGCGACCGAATCTGAAATTGATTAGTGTTATATGCTAATTAGGATTTATGTGATTTTATGGTAGGTTTAATTAAAATTCAATTTGGAATGATTAAATTAGATTAAATAAAGTTAAATTACATTAGTTTGCATTTACTACCAATTTGCCATTGAGTGGATTATGCTAGGCCACTACTTCTCTCACCCTTTACATTGTTTAGCATCTTTCTTCACTTCATCTTCTTGAGACCAAAACCGAGTGACAGAGGGAGGCTTGGAAGAAAAATTGTTTTCAACAAGAATTAGCTTGGAGACTTAGAGGAATTGATGGAGATTGTAAAAATTGAGCTTCCATACCTAGAATTCAAGGCCTAAGGTAGGAAAATCATCTTCTTAATTGTGAATTCAAGTTATCTCTTGCATGTTTCATGGAAATTTGGAGTTAAAGTCAAGAATTGGTCTAAAGAGTGGAATTGAGTAGTAATTCATGCATGCATGTACATATCATAGCATTTTGAAGTTGTTTTTCATGAAATTCTTACATGTAAGTTCATATTTTAGTTGTAGCCCATGAATTCATCATGTCTCTCTATCAAATTGCCAATTTAATCTTAATTTGAGGTGTTGGAATTTAAAGGAGATCATGCATGTTGTGTTTTTGTTTTGTTCTTGAAATTTGGGTTGAAATTGTGTTCAATTGGCTTACCTTTGGGCTTGATTTTACAAATTGATCTTCAAAAACATGTTGTAGTATGAGTTTGCAAGTGTTTTCCAGAAAATTGGCCCAAAAGGTTGAGTTTTGAAGTGTTGAATGCTTGGAT